GTAATAACTTTCTCCAAATGATCCCCAGCCTCTTGCTACAAGCACTTGGAAAGTGCGTGGGTGCGGCGTTGTTGAATACAGAGGGAATTTCCCTCCCCCCCCCGCCCTCCGTTTGCCAACGCTGATCTCACAGAAGTGATCCCAGGGGAAGGTGGTGAAGGAGGGCATCAAATTAAAGCTGCTTTCTCTAATACAGGTTGATCAACGAAGCATTTTTTTTTTTATTATTAAGGGCCCCTCTTTTTTTTTTTTTTTTTTGCCCCTGATGCTTGTATTAACATTTTTTAAAGGCAAACTTTAGGACAAATGGTGAGTCTACTCATAAAATATGGTGAGTCTATGCCAATAAGCAATTTAAAATATGCAAATTCTGCATTAATTGTATGGAGCCAGCCCCAAAGACCAGCACTTCAAGCACTGCCATCATCTAAACAGTTAACAAGCTAAAGCTCCCGATCTGCCCCTTTGAACAAACAGGAAGGAACTGAAAAGATTTCAAGAGAGATTTTTTTTTTCCCTTTTTTTTTTTTTTCCCTTCCCATTCGGTGGAAAGTATTTCTGCCCACAGAATGCAAGATTCACAAAAATGTTGGACAAACTTCACGTAACCCCATCCAAAGCTGCTCCTCACGCAGTACTTAACCGGCCGAGCCGCTCCGCGAACAGGCCGGCGCTTATTTGGGCTGGTGACTTGGTTCCCTTCTCCTTGCTGCACACACTGTGCCAAGGGAAGCAAAGGGATCAGCAATGCAAGTTCCCTTCCAGTACAGAAAGGAGAGCAACTCCTTAAGGACTTATGTTAATTCCCTAACTCTCTCCTGGCATGCACATTTAAGGAGAGTATAGCTGATTATTCCAAAGGGAAGGGTCTGCTCTGGCATCTCCTCTTATTTTTGTGGTTCCAGGCGGAGGTCCTGCTTCATGGTCTGTCTCCTGCTTCATCAAACTACAACCAGAGGGATGCTTTAGGGTGCTGAGCCTTCCTCTTCATTAAAGCTATTTGCTTTGAATGCTGAACTTGAGCTAGCCTGACCCCCCTCCCCTCACAGCATCTTTGTCCTTCGGGAATGTTATTTTGATTTTGCTCTTTCAAAAGCAGAGGTTGCAAATCAACGTAAGGAAAATAAACATAAGAAAATTGGATTTTAAATGTGACCTGAACAAAACAACCCCCAACCCATCATAGAGCTTTGTAAAACTGCATTTTGAACCTGTCTCTTACCCCTACTGATCCACAAGCAGTACCTGTTTCATGTCTGCACAATGCAGCAAGCATACAAGACTCACTAACATTTCAGATTTTTATTCCCTGTTAGTGTAACAAAAATAAAAAATAAACAGACATTCAAAAACAGAAGCGAGATTGTTCAAGTACCAAATAAGGGGCTTTTCCAAACTTAAAGTGTGACACTCCTGTAGCAATTCTGCTGTTTTAAACAGCCACAGCATTCAGTTACAGACATGGTGCCACCTAAGCCCGCAGAGAGCCCAGGATTTGGGGCAACCAAGACCCTCCTCCTTCTCCTGTCCTCACTAAAACAGCACTAAGTGTCAACATTCATTTCCACAGTCCCATTACAGTTGCCTGGCTTTGTGAAGGAAAAACTGACTTTCGCCCTGCTGTGACTAGAATTCAGGTGTGATTAAAGATAAGATCTTTCCCTGGAAATGGCTTTTGGTTGTGGAAGTCTTGCTAACACTGGTGTCAGCGAGAAGAGAATCAGGCCCATCACATTAAATGGAAAACTTCTTGACCATCTGCCACATCAAGAGAGATGAGTGTGGAAAGAGCATTTTATTTTTGGCATAAGACAGAGGGCTGTACTGGATATAACTCTAGACTGCAACTACCAACGGTGCAAAGCAGTGACTCAAATGCACTGCTGAAGAGAATTAAATAAAAACCAAAACACAACCCACAAAACTAGAGCACTCCAGAATCAGAAAGTGAACAATCACATTTTACTGCTCCACACACTAGTGAAGCATCTGTTGGGACATCCCTCTGTTTCTAGGTTTGTTCTTCCCATGCTCACATAACATGTAATCGATAAAGAAACTAGTGGGAAAAGATTTATAATTTACTAACTTCAAAAAATATGGCACTCGTGGCTGACACAATGGGGCCAATGGCAACTGTGGAAGCAGACCTGATTTCCATCCATACCAATATAAAATACCGAATCACCCCTAATCCCTGCAAATATACTTCAAAACAGATTAGAAGTAACTGTGCATATTCGAGTTTCAACGTCCCCCTCCCCCCCTTCCCCCCATTTAACACTGTGCAAAAGTTATTTATTTAACTCTACATATATATTTAATACAATATGGGTCAATGAGATCAATGCTCCTCTAACTGCAGTCTGGCACCAGACGGCTGCTACAACAGTGAGACTATTTCCCCCCTTTCCTCCTGACGTTCTGACTCTTAAAATTAAAACCTTCTCACATCTTACTCTTTTAAAAGAACTTGAGTTCCTTTGTTTTGCCTGTATGTTCATATTTCCTGTATTTGTTTTAGGCTTAACAGCTGCTTTTCATCCTGGGGTGTAATCCTGCACCTCTCAGGCCCATTGCTGATTTCTCAGCCATGGCAAGTGTAGAACAGCTCCTGGAAGCTGTGGGTTTTCTCACAGGTCTAATGACACTGAGCAAACAAAATCAGGTCAAGCACAATGAGAGGTGCAGGACCAAGCCCTTGCCTCATGGATCACACCAGCTACATGTGTCAGCTGGTTTTGTACCCATTTTCATTTGCTCTGTGAGTCCAAAATGGATGCAAAAAGAATCTGTGCAAAAGCACGTGAGAGTCAAAGGGGAACAACTGCAGCAGCTGCAGGACTTCAGGTGCCTAAACCAAACACAGAGATACAATGGCAAAACAGCCTCAGGGAGACTGCTCAGGATAATGGAGCCAAACGCAAGGAACGTGGTCTTAGTCTGTCCATGGCCCTGATCTGAAGGTCTGGGCAAAACAGAACTTCAAAGAACGCTTCAAGATGGCTTATTGGCTCTGAGTCCATCGTTTGCACATCACCTGTGATCAGCAAAAAGATCTCAGAGAGCAAAGGGCCAAGAATCTCAACTCACTCACACCACGATAAAGCCAAGCTACCTTCACAGACGTTAATGGAATTACATTGTATTTACCTTGGCAGAGCCAGGGCTGGAGCCCGGACCAAGACCTCACAGGATCAGTCAGATTCCACTACAGGGAAACTTCAGACAGCCCCGCTCTGCTACCCCGCTGCTGTCAGTACTGTGAGGGTGTGCCAGGATTTACGAGCCTGGAAGTAGATCTGCACTTGTTTAAAACGAAACTGAACCCTACCTGAAAACGGGGCAGAGGTGAAACACTTCAGCCAGGTTATCTCTGTCACAAAATCAGGGATCGGAAATATGGGGCCCATCAGCCTTGAATGTTAACGTTGTCAGTAAGAGGAGAGTCCAAAGAGAACACAAGGGCAGTGAAAACAATCAGACACTCCTCCCACACAGATTTCTCCACAGGCATGAGGCACCTGGCTATCATTTGTGCCTTTGAACTGATTTCCCTCATTGGGCATTTGGTCTCAGCCCAGCATCAAGGGAATGCTAGATGCTCAAGAGGTGTGAGAATGACAGCTTTACAGCTACCAGATTAGAACTGCAAATTATCCAAAATGTAGGGCAAGTTTCTTTATAAAGAAAAGAATTCCATGTCCACATACCACTGAGGAATCCATTCAAGGTTTCCACTAACAGCAAAGGCTATGCCTCATTTTTCCTTTCCCTGGGGAAGTAGGAGAGAAGGGACACACTAGCAGATGTGTTTCACTTTTGACATAGCAACTTATCTGGATTTTATTTTTCTCTCACACAGTCTTGGTTAAGTTTTGAAGTGTTTCATTTAATGAGAAAAGTGGCATCTACAGAATTCTTTGCCTGAAGATTGCACTCTGGCCGATTAGAAAGTGCCTGGGATGCATCAGGGTCATTAGTGCAAAATAAAACATCTCCTGGCATGCCAGGCAACCAGACTACCCTTCCTGCAATGGCTGTCAGTGCTCCAGCCTTGTCACTTCCCTACTTGCAAATTCAAGACATTCAGTAAAATAATACTTCTAGTGTAAACATTATACATCAACAAGCCTGGCACTACTGCCCAGGCATTACAGAAAAAAGCCATTTGAACAGGAAATCAGCCCCAGGGTCAGAAACGGGTCTCCAGCATTCTCAGACCTGCATGACTGTCTGCTTCCTGTCCTGCACAATGGGTGCATTGCAAGGGAAACGCTTCCAGTAATGGGAACAAAAGTAACTTTCAAGGTTGCACACTGAACAATTACTTCGCCAGTTGTGCTTTGATGCCAAGTGGTTCAGTTTGCCAAACTTAGCTCTTTTTCATTTTAGAAGCTTAAGGAATGGAAATAAGCTGCTTTGTACACTTTCCAGGGAGGGGATTTATTTGATGATTGCTGTAGTTGATGAAGCCCAGGACTACCCACTCCAGTATCTGACAGCAGCCCTTGCCAAAGGATGGTACCAGACATCCAATAACTGACGAGTATGGCTTTCTTCCCTTCCTGTGTTTTGCATCATGTCCAAAATAACTACAAGGGAATTTAGATTATACCAGTGTAAAGTCTTGCTTGGCTGCAGTGGTGTGAGAGTTCAGAACCCATCTTGCAAAGAACAAATTGGAGCAGATCTACGATTAGCATGTTCACCTCTCTACAACTGGGAGTGACTACACCTCACCAAAAAATTTGGTACAATAAGCCATCCAGAAGCATTTGATTACACTGACCCCTTCTGTACCAAGATCAAGCTTTACAAGAGTCTGTCATTGTTCAGCAAGAGACCTGCAGCAGGTGAGTGCAAGCTTCCTTCTGGTTTACATTCTGAAGCACAGTATCATTAAAAACTGAAAACAGAATCCCAAGCTGAGGAATGGGAGGAAGGGGGGAGTGAAGAAAGAGGAGAGTGAACAATTACATCAGATCAGACAAATTTAGTGTGTTGAAGCCACACAATGTTTAGCTTTTCCTTTTATTTGTTTCAAGTTTTGGTGCAGAAAGTATGTGTGGATGCTAATGCAACCTCCCCTGTAAGTGTTCAATCTAGCAACAAACAAAGTTTTGGCATGTTCAATTTGGTTATGTTTCCTTTAAGCGAAGACCTGTAGTGCCATTGAAACCAAAACTTTGTTACTGTTGGCAAAAAAAAAATAAAGCAACTTTCCTTTTACAAGCATTTTTCCATTTAAACAAAAACCTGAAGCTTTCCCGTAATTCCTTTGGTCTTCTCTCACCAAATTCCATGCTACCTCAAGACAAGCCCTCTTTTGGAAGTCCGGCTGAATCGCAGTGAAGCTGCTAAAATTAACAGAGAAGAATTGCTGTGGTAGAGTTTCCCCCTAGTTCGTTGGGAGTTTAAGACTGAAAGACATTACTGATGCCTCGAGTAGAGGATTCAAATTGTCTCTACTAGAACAAGAGAAAACAAAATCCAATTAGAAGTTCCACTGAAGGTGCCTGGCAAAAAATTTTCTCCGTAAGATGATGCTTTGCTTCCAGTATTTTTGTATGCGTTGCGTTGAGTTTATTCCCCTCATAAGGAAACAAAAGTATTGGTGTAAAAGCACAGCTGAGCTTTTAAGGTAGCACCAGGACACCTACACCCAAGTTGTCGTCTTGTTGCTGCTAGGCCTCTTTTTGATTCACATTCACAGAATCACTTCTTGTGCAAAACAAGCAGTCTAAGGAGAAAGAATGCCCTCCAAGTTCTAATAAAAATCGTAGAAAAGAATCCAAGATAGCCAACGCTTTCCTCCTCCCCAAAATTTACCTGCAGAGAGAGGGGGGCATCTGTGCGTAGACAGGATAGGCAAGCCTGACATTTAGGGAATCATTGTGTTGGACAAGAGATGTCTGCTGGTAATGAAGAACCAAATCCTTAAGTGTGCTGTACAGGTTGTACGGTTCTGCAAACCCGTAACCTCTCGGAGTGCTGTAGATCACACAGTGTTTCACCTCTCCATCAGCTCTGCAAGGAAAGGAAAGAGGAGAGTTTAACATCAAAGGACAAACCCAAAGTGACAGTCTATTAACAATTAACTAATGCAGCAGCCCCGCCAGTCACTGAATTACATAATGGAGGACCCAGTAGATGCAAGTAGAGGAGATTAATATAGTCTGTGAAGAAACAGTGCTTCAGGGCATGCGATTAAACACTCTTGCATAATAATCCACATAAGAGGCCTCTTCCATCCCAGCAGTACAATTCCCTACTGCATTGTTCTCCAAATGTTCCTTGGAAAAAAAAAAGTCAAGAGCTTAACCAAGAAGATAAGCACCCGAAGTCAGCAATGACTTTGTGCTCAACTTACCTAGAAACCTTTCCACTAAGCAAAGAAGCCAAAACCCACAAATTCTCAGGACCTACAAAGTACTCCATGAAATACAGCACTAACCTTCAGTGTGCATTTTTTAATGTTAAGCACGGGATGGATTCAAGCTGATTCATTATCTGAAGCCATAGCGACCGAGTCTCTAACTTGGCAAAGCAGCTACTGGAACGCAGCATTTCCAAAGCTGCTACAAAAACTTATCTGCCAGAAAGATCGAGTATTATGTAACCCCTGTACTGGAGCCTATTACAATCCCAGTCACATGTAGGGACAGGTTACATTATGCCATCCCTCTGTGAGCTTGCAGCGGGATCCCGACCAAGCGAAAGCATCTGATGAACCCATCACTTCAGTGCCTGTGATAAACAGAGCAGATACTACAGTATTCAGCTACCTTGAGGTGCTCTACCTTCATGTATTCATTTCTCGGACCTCTGTTCAGAAGCAATTAACCTCATGTGAAATAAATCAGCGGGAGCCATTTTGCACTCCAGAACGGGCCTGGAGGATTTTTAGGTAATGGAATCAGTATTTCTGACCTCCGTTACACCAGCATAAAATGAAGTGAAATACAAGAAATCAATGCAAGGCTGTGTGAATGTCGTAAAAACTACGGCTCACAAATAATGCCTCCTCTGAAGCATCACCATTATCTTAAACATACAAGAGAAAGATTCAGAGTTGGGTGTGTCTGAAAATGAGAACAGATGATGTCACACCTTCACAGTCGTGCTTTATTTCTTCCCATGGGTTCTTTAGCAGGAATACGGTAGAATTCAGAGTTAACTTACTTATAGACTGTAGAGCTTCAAGATGGGATACTTCAGAATTTTGTATTAACTACTGTGGCAAAAACAGAGACTGCAGGACTACAGTCATTCCATGGTCAAAGCACATTTTTGTTACAAAGCTTATACCATGCTGGTCTTCCTGCAAACACATACCCTAGCTTAGGGTAGGCCTAAGCTAGGCCTGGTTTTTGTTCTCCAAAATAAAGAGCTTTGGTAGAGATTTATGCATTGAGTAGTTAGAACGAAAAGGAAAACAGACTTACACCACAGAACAAGCGTAACATCCTTTCTTGCTACTCTCGCGAATTAAAAATGCTCCATCAGGTTTCCCACAGAGCAAGTCTTCTGCTTGGATACGGTTGAGATCTCCAACAAACCAAGTTTTCTCATCATGATGTGGTAGGTTTTCATCTTCTTCATTCACAAAGTATGTGCTGAAAGAGAGGTTAAATTTGTTAACCAGTGATCAGCAAAGGAGTTGGTAAGCAGAGTTATTTATTTTTGCAGAAATCATGCAAAGAAATACAAGAATTGCCCAAACTGGGAGGTCAGGTTCCTAATGGACATATATTAAAGGCTTCCACTTAGAACTTAATTGTTTCAACTTTGTTTAGTCCTAAATGTTTCAGGAGAGTTGCTCCTTCATATGACATCAAGTTCCCCTAGAGACCCTCTCCTTTTTTCTCCAGTCCTTTACTGAAAAACTGGTGTTTTTTGTTACCAAACTCCACAAGAGAAAACGTTCATAGATGGAACACTTCTCAACAAAATCATATGCATAGTGACACTTACTCATCAATATTTTCATTTTTGATCCCCAGCCAGTCGTTTATTCGCTTCTGTCTCACCCCTTTGTGATTGAGCCATCTGCCAGAAGAAGAGAGCATTAATACATTACTTCAGAGTACGTGTATGGGTTTTCTTACTAAGCAAGCTGAAGCTCAGACACAAGGTACCACAAAAAAACAGTCTGTGCCTAACTCAAGGATGTCAGGAGCTGGATAACAGGAGTGTTGGTAAAATCAAGTGTGGGTATGAGCAACATCTGACACACCTAACAGAAGTAGTACTAACCTCTGTTGTACTAGCAGGCACAGATTTTGTTTATAAGTAATTTATTTTAAAATTTTTATGTACAAGAGTTGCAGAATGTGCACCTATTTGTGGTTGGCTCTTTAAATAATGAAGCCATGAAGAAGTCAACCAATATTCAAATATCCCATGCAAGAAAGTAGCACCTTAGCACTCACAGAACTTTGGTTATGAAAGGAAAATTAAATTCTCATTATCCTGATGGAAACAGTCATTAATCAGGTTCATCAGAGACACTATTCTGAGGTACGGGTCAGGCTTACTTACACAAGATACTGATCTCTGATTTTGCGGAGCTGAATTAGGTCAGGCTTGATGCTGTTCATTTTCTTATCAGTCTCCCTGTTGTCCAGAGCTTGTTTCTTCAAGTCTTGTTCCAGGCGCATTTTACTGTCATGGATCTCACCCAGGCGGGATTTTAATTTTTCATAGTTCATCATTATCCTGAAAACAAGCACAATATTGGAGAGAAGAGGTCAAGTTTGGTCTAGGACTGAACCTACTGGTAGCACTTATAGAAGAGTATCACAAGAACTACCGTAACAGCAGCTCCTCCCTTTGACTGCCTCATCTTCACATGAAAACTACTGTAAGAGTGACAGAAAAGACCTCTTGCCAGAGGGCCTACAACCTTCAGTTTACCTTAATATACTTCTTTCTGGCAGAGATGCAGGAACAAATTATCCAAAGGAGGGTAAGCAAGAACAGATTCCTCCTTCACTGTCAGATTCACTTTGTAATATCAATTATGCAGTCCCACTGTAGGTATCAGGACTAGCAAGATTTCAAATGCAGACTTCAATTACTATCAAGAGCTGCCAGGAAGTAATGTTGCCTGTCTCTTCTTTCAAGACTAGTTTGCAGGTTTGGTATAATTCAGGAGAATTACATATTTTCCCTGTTAATTGATCTTCATTCAGAATGAAGCACCACAGTTGTACAGTAAGATTGTTACAGGTAACTGTTCTTAGTCTAAAGATCTCCTTAAGGTTACCCTATCTGGTTCAAAAAACACTATGAAAAGTTAGGCATTATATCTGGCATTTCTTCAAAGGCCCAAATACAACTTTTTCTGCTAGTACCCTCACAGAAAAGCAGCTTCAAATGAGGTCCTTACTGAATTTGTTAGATGACAGCTGTTAAATATAATCTTCTTTGAAAATGACTAAAACTGACTATGGACTATGAGATTCACCAGATCTATGGACATTTCACAGTTGAAAAGTAAAGATTTTTCTGAATTACGTTCTGAGCAAATCCAAACAGAAGTGGAAGAAACAAATTAAATTGTTATTTCCTAATTCTTTCCTGGTCCTTGATTTACCGAAGTTAAGAGTAAGACCAACCCAGAGATCTCTCACCTCTGCTATCTACAATGCAATTCTTTGACAGAAGAGAGCTTTACTAGAGAAGGCACTTACAAAGTGGTTTATATGATGCTTTAATGGGAGTGCCCATGTGGACACTAGTTTTGCCAGGGAAGCAAACACAACCTGAGCTTACCGTTCAATTTCTTTGTCATTCCCCTCCCTGCGGAATCGCTCAATGTACTCTTTGCTGTATCGCTCTTGTGAGTGGCACTGCTCCTCAAATATCTTAATAGTTTCATTAAATGCTTCGATTGCAGTCCTCTTCATCTGGATTTCCTACGTAAGGAAAGAGTCCTTCATCACTTGTCCATAATACAGACAACAAAGCAAGACCCAAGTATATTCCCTAAACTGACTGAGAAGACCATCTTTTCTCCCCCCACTAAGTCAAAATGAAATTAATCAGTTTTAAATTTAGTCAATTGTCCAAGTAGAGTCAGGGAATAACAGGGCAGACTTACTCCCTCTAAGTCTACCCTCCTCCTCTACACAGTGCTCTCTATTAGGCTGCAAACCCCTCAAATATTTTAGTCATATTTTCCATCTTAGTTTTCAGGAAGACTGCCAGCAAACCTCCTCCCCATATATGAACTATCTTATTTTACCAGAAGCAGTCCAAATATCGTATTCACACTTCCTTAATGCATAATATCTGGTAACTGACTCGCACGTGACTTCACAAAAAACCTGGACAAACCCCTCTACAATTCTCACTGCAGAATACAGCAGCTGGAAATACTCAGCAGCCAAGGAAGAAGTCTGCAGTGTAAAGCTTCTAGGTGTTGGCATTCTCCACAGCTTTACCTTATACTTGGAAGCTCAGCTGCCCTTTTTTCCTTGCCCCACACCACGCCTCTAGGACTATCAGCAACAAGCAATATTCACTCTTTCCATCACCTCTGAAACTACTTTGCTCTGTTCCATGATTTACTAAGTTTTTTCCTTGTATTTTCTGACTATGGACTGCCTTTATTAGCCACAACAGGTTAAATTAATTTTCTTTACTTTTTAAACAACGAGAAACAGACTCAACAAACAGCCAAAGAAGAACTAACCTGTGATGTTCTGGTATATTCTTCATACAATTTGTCGTACTCTTTGCTCTTTTCCTGATACTGAGCATGGTATTCTTGAAGTTTTTTACCTACTGCATCTATATTATCTTCTTTCACCAACTGATCCTGTACATACAAAGAGCTATTAAGTCTTCAAGCAAAGCAGCTTTTCCTTAAGAGTATTCATTTGTCCACTTATGCACATTTGCATTTTACAGATATTAGCATCATGTTTATAATCCAGTTTCTAGAGAACACTGTCTCTAAATCCCCCTTCCTTTGTGCAACACATTCCACAGTTTACAGACAGTAGGAACTGGAACTATAGGACACCAAGACCTATGCCAAATACTAAGCTTCCAAAAACACACCACACTTTACTTTCAGAATTGCTATCCCCTATTCAAGAAAGAAGGAAGCACATTACTCGGAATCTGAAGTTAGAGGTCAGAGGGTTGTTTTGGTTTTTTTTTTTCCCAAAAGCTCTGTAGTTCTTTTTCCTTAATGCAGGAAAATGTCTCAAGCTACTGAATAAAAGTTAAAAAAATGTTCTTGAAAAATTTAGATGTCTATGCACAGAGTGAGCATCTGCATGGGTCATATGTACTTCAAGGGTAACACTGCCTAGAACAGTGCCTGGTGGGTCCACAAGGGTCCAGGGGGAAATAAAAAGGCTTCTCAGAGTTCAACTGCTGCATACCAGGGTTTCTCTTCTCTTCTCTGCTGCCTGATGGCTGCTCAGATGGAGACCAGAAACTTGATAAAATGAAGCAGCTTAAACGGCTAGAAAATTTGAAAGACCCAGGTGAGGCCAAATGTGAAAACTCCACCTTTTTAGTTTTTCCGTATTCAAAAAAAAAAAAAAAAAAAAAAAGAAAAAAAAAAAAAAAATCAGGCTATTCATAGAAAGCAAACAAAATTATTTTTGTTCTTGTCTGCCCTAATAGGTACTGGGGTCTGATGGAGATCTTACCTGCTGGTACCGGGACACTGGATACATCAACTTCACATCGAGCTTCGGGTTATACTGCGCGAGAGACTCATTGCGGTAGTGGTTAATGAGTTCCACCACTGAATTAAACGTCAGTGGGTCAGAGAAGCCATACTTTCCATCCCGATGATAGATCTTTATCAGCTTATTGTTGCCACCCTTCCTGTAAGGCACAGAGGTTTTACTGTGTCACTCCCATCCCTTTTCCAACACTAGGGCTGCTAACAAAGACACCAGTGAAATTCCTGGGCAAGTGGCCTTCATAGTGATTCTTTACACAGTAGCAGTATTAAGTAGTTTAAGAGTCAATACACACAGAAATTATCATCAGATTATTTGAACAGGAGCAAAGCCCAAAGTAAATCTCTTCCTATGTGTTCATTCTGAAGCCAGCTTATGGTATTTAAGTCCAAGCTTTGCCAGAAGTTGTGCAAGGGAAAAAGAGGATGCTGAAGGCTGAATAAAGGAGCCATAAGAAAACCTAAACCCACAGTTTCATGCAATTTGGGGTCACTAATAGTATACAAATGAGTATAGATTATACAATTATTAACAAGTCTTTTGAGTTATGGATGCTAATACAGGATACCTGAACCTAAACAAAATCCTTTGAGGATTACAACATGGCTGTAAGTTTAGGACTTTATCTTATCCAGATTTATCTGTTCTAGTGGTTTCCACAAATATAGCACTTATTTCTTCCTTTTTTTCCACCAACAGACTGTTTAGACACTGTCCTGTCTTTCCTGCACTCACAATTCTGGTTCCTAAAGACATCTGATTTCGGCAAAATAAAACCATGCCAAACCTTAGTGCACATGGTGTGAACTTTAAGGCAGAAGTTAAAGCAGAATTTTAACTACACCCTTGGGGTCAAACCTGCTATTAAGGCAATGGAATTTCACAGCAAGATCAAATACCTGCTATATCACAGTAACTCCCAAAGGTGTGCTACAGAGGCAGTCGCTTATGTGCCTCACCTGCTTGCCTCTAACAACCAATCTTGGGAGCCTGGCAGAGGCAAGTGGCTGGGCAGGCTGGGCAAGGCACCAGAGCCAGTCACATGAGGTCTGCTGCCTAACTGCAGCAGACAGGGCTGGGGCAGCTCTGGGAAACCTTCCACTTGCAGACAATTTTAATGAAGAAAAGAACATAGCTCCAATTCGATATTTCCTAAACAACAGATCAGAAAGCACAAGATACTCCTTTTACAAAGACAATGTGCTTGGGTTTCTACAGCTGTAGACTGATGAGATATTCAACACTCTCCCATTAATCAAAGCCCTAGCTTACAAATACCTTTTACCTTAGCAGTTCTGAAACTATGAAGCACTTCTGAGCAGCTCTCCTCCCCAAGTCCCACTTCATCCACATGCTGATCCTTACAGTACTGTTTAGTGAGGGACAGGATTCAATGCACAGAACAGAACTGACTGTCGGACGTGGCTTATTTATTTACTTATTCTGTGATGTGCAGTCCTGGGAACATCTCTCAAGCCACATGAGCTTTGCACAGCCATGGCTGTCACTGGTATAGCAACAGCTACTCAGGGTCTCCCTGTGTGGGCTGCTAGTGCTCAGTGCTCACCGTAAGGTCAGAGTGTAGTCTCCCTGCATCTTGGTTGATGCGTCGCGCACCAGGAATGTTCCGTCTGGCATGTCTCGTAATTTGTCATTTACTTCTTCCCTGAAGAATGGAAAGGGAGGCAAAATTAGAAGCACGAAGGACATGATCATCTTTGCCATAGGTAAAACATCGGAGTCAGTAACACCAGCATGCATAAAGTTCAATCTTCTTTGACGTCCGGGCTCTCCAGTCTTTTAGGGCATCTAAAGCAAGTCTCAACCTGTGTAACCGTACTAGAGAAAAGCAGCTACAGTCAACTGCCACTTAGAGAGAAGTCTCTGTTTAAACAACAGTAGCAGCTGTGACTCAGTTCATAACCTTTCCCTGTAATCTGCTCAGGTTTTAAAGTCCACACTAAAACAGGTGCCCTTTGAGAAGCCAGTCCTGACCCCTTAAGAGATGGCCTCTAACATCACAGCTCAAAGGTGTCTAAAGTTTAGCAGAGTTTTAGTCTCAAGAGGCTCTTTATTGGCTTAACTCTGATCTTATTTACAGCCGTTTTAAAGCACTACAACCTTTCCAGCTTCAGGGCAACTCTTCCTTATTTACAACTGAGGCAAAAGGACACCCAGTCCAGAGCTTTAAGCTAAACCAAGAAATCTTGTAGTGAAAGTGAGTACCTGTAAGCATTAAGAAAATTATTTCAGCTGAAGAGATAAGCATCTTGCCAGGTTCGAGCATTTCACCCAGATTATGTATCTCACTTCATAACAGCTCCCTCAAACCTTTTAGAAATACTAAGCACTTTTTAATACAATCATTTGGAAACTAAAGTTTCTCAGATAGCCTCAACGTTGTCTAAGTGCTGTATGAAGCTTAGTTGAATCTTACAAAGCAAAATCAACAGCAGCTTTTTTGCTCAAATACTAAGGAACAAAAATATTCTTACAGAATAGCCCTAGCTCTGATTTAGCTATTTGAAAATGATTCTGTTAGTAAAACTAACTCCTGTGAATGTTCACGTGCATATCCACTTACTCTGACCATTTCACAGATTGGACCCAGTTAACCCAAACAACTCTCTTTTTTAATTGATAGATACGATCCATGGGTTTGGGCTTGTGCCTGCAGGTTGCACCCTGGAGCTCGTGACAAAATTTCCAGCACAAGTTCTTGACTGAAGAACATTGGTCCTGCCATGATAGCCCAATGCAGCCCATACCTGCTGGCTGCCAAATTAAGGTCATAAACAATTCCATCTTTACATGCACGTGTATCACGTTTTAATCTAATAAAGCCACTCCAGTGTGATTTGCAGTGCATTAGCTCCTGCCATCCTGTGCACTGATAATTGAGGAGCAAATCCACAGTCAATAAACTGATACCAATATCGAGCAGTTTTAAATAAACTGTGTCTAGTGGGCTTTGTGATCACTTTTTGCCACTCTGCTTCAATTTAAAATTAACAGAAAAATATCTCTGCTGAGGCCCTTCAAAGGCAAGATCTCTGTGGGTTTACTTTATAAAGAGATAAGGGTGGTACAATAAAGATATGAAAACTTTATTTCCCTTCTCAGAACGCCAATAAGTTAATGTGGAAAACACGCTCTTCTTGCCTCTGTCTGCCAAAGTGCTTCAAAGTATTATGAGCACAAGTTTGAGCAATTCCTGATCACGCTCCCAGCACGCTCACCTTTCCTCTTACAATTCCAAATTCTAGACTCTTCAGAAGTGCCGTAAGAGGGAAAGAGATGACTGAACACTTCAGTTCTTTTATGCAAGTATATAAAAACTAGTCCTTCATTTTCTGAACCTAACCCATCTATTTTCTCAAGTGCAGAGAAAGAGGTTTTCTTAAGAGGTAAAGCTTAATTTATTTGATATGTGTTTCTATCATTTGCTCAGTATAGCTGGTGAGGGTTAGCATTTTTAAGAGCTATTTTTTATATCACCATGTAATAGAAATTAATACAGATGCAATTTTAAACTAATGTTAAAGAAACCAAAACTAAGAATGCAATTCCTTTTATTCTAAAGTTTTATTTTTGTACTGAAACTTCACTGACCTGCATGCATTCCAGCACTGTACGCTTACAACACCTTATTAGATAGCAGATTCAGATTTTTCTCCTTTTTAAAGACTGTTTATCTGGACAAATTTAGAAAGCCAAAAATAAGTGTCACCAAGACTGGCAATATCTGCACCAGAAGAGCAACAACTGAAATGTCCTCAATCCAGCTGAATAGTTTTACTTAGGTGCTTTGCCAAGTAAAGTCCTGAAGTGTTTCCCTCCTGTAAAAGGCATGTTCTTTTTATCTTGAATTGTAGCTGGCTTGATCTATTTTTAACAACATATATTAACACATTTCAATTAATATAGTCTAGCAATATTGCTTACCTTGAGATGTCCCCCCAGTACCATTCTGCTTCCTGCAGAGAGAAGCTGGAATTGTCCTTTATTCCATTCGTATTGACTGGAGTCATTGGTTTGGGGGGCTTTGGAGGAAGAGCTGAAAATGAAAAACAGATGAACAAAAGGTAAACAGGAGAAGATAATCACTAAACTATTAATGAAATCTGACAGTAAAAAAAACGAGAGAAAATGTGCACCTTGAACTTTGCTTTCGAGCTCTCTCAAATCAAATGAAATTCGTAATTTTAGAGGAATTCTGAAGTAAGCAGTTCCACTGTGATCCCAGATTTCCTAGTATCAAACTAAACACTTGCTGGATGGAGGAGAAAAGGAAGGAGCATGAGGAAACACGAGTTTTTGTTAAAAGGAAGACTGGCGCAGGCACAACTACAAGGGCAGGTGCCGCCTAAAGCTCCAAACAAATGACAAAGGTGCATTGTGTTTGAAAGCCACAGCCTGGAGAGCACTGGGCACCACTGTGGAAAAACTCCAGTTGCTCAGGCATCACCAGTCCTTATGTCAACTCACAAGAGGAAACAGGTAAACTCTTCTTCAGAGGGAAAAACAATTGGCATATCCATCAAAGGCCCAAAGTTCAAGTTTCATACTAGGTTTGTCATTTAGGCCTCTGCTTTGCAGGTGCTGAATGCTTCATCACAAACATTGCCACTGAAACTCAGGCATTTTTTAGGCATTTCATGAGACTCTTTCATGAGAGGGACAGGTCACATTTGAATTCACAGTAAGAAAGCAACTACACACATTGATTTGCTTCTAGCACATTTTCAAGCCAGACCCTGAACATCTGTGCTCCCAGCCCTGTGCCCTTGCCATCAGATTACACAAGCATCAGCGAGCAGGCCTGACACACTGACAACAGCCATCTTTCAGATGCACACAATCCCAGTGTACAGGCAGAAACACAAATAAAGGGAGCAGAAAGAAGATTTTGATCTCTAGCTTCAGCATGGAATGGCTCAGTGCTGAGAGGTGTGCTACTTGGCACCATCCATCTGCTCACCTCCGAGCCACACCTCCCACATTAAAGAAGAGAAAACAGGCTTCCAACTGCAGTTCCAAACACCATTTCATGTTGGATATCCAACACAGTAACTTCACTGTTCTCAGACAAACCAGTAGATGCTTTAATTGAGCCAATCTAAACTAAACCTGAACCTTGACCCAGACGTTTGCACCCTGGGGTTGCTGACCAAACACCTGATTCAGATAGCAGCATTCATTCTGTGGGACTGAGCATTAAACCGTAGCATACAGGTTTCTTTTTATGGGGTGAGCTGGGAACTCTCAGGTGTGCACACATCTAGTGAGGCAATAACACCTCTTGTTGTAAAAGGAAGGTGAAAACCTTCAGATTCAGTGAAGTAGCTTCCTGGTTAGGAAGCTTCGGTTATTCCTAGCTCAGCTACTACAGTTGTTTGTGTAGCACACAAGTGTTTGTACAAAGCACTGTTAAGAGCAAGACATGGTTCTAACCCTACTTTGCTTGAAGGTCCCAGCCCCATCCAGGGTCACAGGAACATACATCCAGCCTAAGCCTGTAGAGTCAATTGTATTCACTGTGCTGTTCCATCTCCCCCACTGAAAGTTCCTGAATTAGAAAATGTCTTCAGGTCCTCCCTCCTCCCCACCTCACATCTGGGATAGCAGAGTCTCAGCAGTTCTGAGTCCCCCACAAGGCAGTTAATCCAATTTCAGAAAACCTGTAGATGTTCTGATCTGCTTGAGAATCTTTTGTAAATTCTGAGTCTTTAACAAGCATGTGAAGATTCACCTAAAAACCATACAAAAATGCAGAGAGTTCTTAGGAAACGGCACCAGCACCAGCAATTATTTCACTGGGTCTTTCAAATTAAGGCTTGGACATATCAAAAACTTCAAGGTATTTTACAGCGTAAAAGCCTGTTTTACACTGGTAATAGGAGCTTTCCAGAAGAGGCTTTCAAGTATTCTCTAGAGTACTTGAATACTTCTCTAGCCCTCCTTGTAAGATTAAGTCTTGCTCCTTTATATACTGTGGAATTATTTAGCAGCTTTGTTAGGCCTCACTCCAAAGCACAGGGCATAGAAAAGCAAAGTAACAAAGAGCAGAAAGGTAAGGAACAGGAGTTTGGACACAGAGCACTAGACATTACACCAAGTGTCCCTACTACAGGTGGGAGCTTCTCCTTCCCTCTAGTAGGCAGGTACCAGTTCTCACTATCAGGGGGATGTCTGCAGAACTTCACCCTGCATGAGAAAACTGGAAGGAAATTCTTTCAGGGAGAAGAATAAGGCTTGGACCGTTTCCTGTAAAACCTGACTCATGGAAGCCAGTCCTTTACACAATAGACTTTTGAAAAATGCTTTTTAATAGCTTGCACATTTCAAAAATACAAAACTATTTGCAAGGGTGGATCCTGTTTCCAGAGAGCTATGTATTTAATTCTCTACTTTCAATACTTAGAGGTCTTTGAGATTTCCCCCTGTACTGGACACAGAACCAGGACCCTGCTATTGCTTTACCCCGTAGACCAACATGCCCATCCATTTCAGCATTTCATGGCTACCATTTCAGCCCATGTACTGCACCCTGCACAAATGGAGAACTGACACAAAGGTAGTTTAAACCTCACAGCCCAGACCCTGGATGCCACAAGGGGAATATTCTGTAACAGCATGGCAAGTCTACTGCAACAGAACAGCATCACCACACTGCTGCTCTCATAACACTGGCCCAATGGGTTGTTGAAAGAGGCATCCTAAAATAGTTTTTACTAGTACCTACACAGTGCTAACAGCCCTGCTAGGAGAAATCTTGTGATGTTTCTAGGAGAAGCTACAGAGAGCCTCAAAGAGTCCACAGATTTTGATTTAAATTCAAAATAATCCAGTCTTATATACTTCACTAGATGAACATTAGAGAGCTAAAATCCTAGAGTTAAGTAAAATAAAGCTGGCTTGAAGTCAACAGAAATGCTTTCAAGAGCAGCCGTGTTTCTTTCCATGTCACTGAGCCCAATTCTGATCTAGCCACAGGCACAATCTTACTTTATCTCAAAACAAGCTCTGATTAAAGTGAACGATCCTGATGGTTTCTTGCCTCCCTTTTTCCTGGGAGAGAACGAACACTGATCACAAGTGATTAACAGCACAACGGATCTATCCGTTCTAATAAAGAACTTGCTGTTAAGGAGCAGATACACAAGCATCCTTCCCCTGCCATGTCCCCAAGACAGCTTTAGAGCATGGATCTTTCCAAATCCCAAAAGGTGACAGCTCAGCTGGACCCTTCCACTCCTGTATGAGCACACTCCAAGGATCAGGTTCAGCCCTCAGTGACCGCCCGGCACGCAGCAGTGAGAACAGACTGTCTCTCCCTCACGCATTTATGGGCATATCTGGTTTTAATTTCTTCAGCAACTCTAGTTCTCTCTTCCCAGCTCAAGCTAGGCTGCCTGGGGAAGCTAAATCCCAATCCCAGCTCGGTGTCACTTAGGAGGGGGGAAATAAAAAGGAGCTGGTGATGGAGCGGAGGGGATGGCAGCCAATGTGGTCGGGGCGTGGGATCGGATGTTGCTGACGTCAGGAACCGAGGGCTGCTCCAGCAGGTACCTTCAGCTGAGCTGCTCCGCCGAGCGGCCGCGCAGGTCCGGGCAGAGGGAGGACTGCTGATCAGGCTCTGCCCGGGTAGTTTTGTGGTGCTTTCTTGACTCTTCTTTTGAAAAGGCAGCTCAAGACATAACTGACTTGATTCCCTGAAATTCAAACCACCTCCAGCACCAAGACAACTAAGAAAGCTGGCAGATGTCTGAAGTTTAGCGCCGCTGTATTTCTTTTAGAGTCTCTCGTAAAAAGTCGTAGGCTACATCAAACCCGAATTTAACTTCGGCGAAGTAGACCGTGACTTCCATGAGATACACACTTTCCCCAGTTGGGTCTTGAATAAAAAAATTTTACAAGTTTACATGACATAAGAGCCACTGAGCCCTACGTGTGAGGGATTTCAATGGCACTAATTCAGGAATGAAAAAAGAAGAATGCCTCGGGTCTCCATGTGCTACATCTCACACAGCATCCAGTCAAGAAGCCTGTTTCTTCTCTGGCTGCAGTATTTGTGCACAAAATCAACCTCCCAGTTAATTCAACTCTGATTTTCAGTTTTAAGGCAGATGCCACTTAGCCTAAGAATGACTCCACAACTTATTTCTTCCAGTATCTTTCAAGAGCTGCAGGCCGGATACTTCAAAGCATAGCAGGTTTAAATGCAGCATTAACTCTACCTTACTGTTAAAAATAATCACAACTACCAAGTACTCTGATGAAGTCAATTTTAAGTCCCTCAGCACTTCCACGAGCTTGTTTACTAGCCTTCTTTCTGATGCACTCAATCTATTCTCCCTCCACACTGTGACAAGCAGAAAACAGATCAGAGGATTTCCAAGACACTTACTCAGCTTCAAAAAGGTTGATGTACAGTAGATACCCTGCAAACTGTAATATAAAGCTCTACAGAGTGTCATTACTATGGAAACATGCAAGTTATCTGTGGTTAGGCCAGCTAACATTTTAGTGACATAGTCCTTGAGGAGAGAAGGGTTCTCCCTTCGGAGATATAGATGAAGACTTGGAACAAAAACGTAAGCTAGCTTTTTTGAAAAGAAAAAAACCTCTCCAATCTTTAATTGCTCTCTCTAGTCTTACTCAATTTCTCAAACACTCTTCTCAACTTCTCTAACACTTTTCAGGCAAAGCTTCAAAATCTTTCCCTCCCTCAGGAGCCCTCTACTTGTCCCTGCTGCACGAGAAGCCCTCAAAGACAGTTGAGAATAAAAGCACGTACCGAACAAAGGTGCTTTTTGCACGCCATTTCCATGAAAGTGCTCCGTGTGTGCCCACCAGAGCGGTGAAGCACCGCGCCCTTGGAGAGGTTTTCCAGCTGACAACGAGGAGGGTCGCGCGCACCTGCTGACAGCAGCTCATTCCCCACCACTGGCAGGTAAATTACGCTGGCAGCTCCACATCTCAGCTCCTCAGTTCTCTTGCCAAGACCCCTCTCGCAGAGCACTGAGCGCCGGTGCCCTTCGGGGCTGCCCTTCC